TTCCCGTGCTAGAGTCAAAGTGGACTTAGCCTTTAAACGATGACTACTTGAGGGCACGTGAAATCGTATCACACGCATGAACCTTTCAGTGTTCTAAAACAGGTTTCATAAGCCAGCACATTTATGGCCTTGTGCTTTATCCCAGTTTTCATGAGTGCTCTAGAGAACCAGTACAAATTCTCATAGGAAGCGGCCCTACTTCCACACTCATATAGGTGAGTCTATCAAGGATGCTCCTATGACTTAGACATCCCACCCATAAGGGTTATAGAACTCATTAAGGGAATAAAAATCCCAACCTCTCTTATCGTCATAGGATCACAAATGCACTTACATCATAGGGACAGACAATATAATCAAAGTAGTGCATATTAATCAACCAAATCACTCTATGATTCGTTTGTCTCCGACCTAGTTCTTGGGATCTCCAGTCCCTAGGTGGTTGTATCCTCATAGGTGATTTTTAACATATATTAGACTTTTGTCTTATCACCCTCGATGTGTATCATATCCTTGACTCAAGCTTGAGATTTATTTTTCAACACAAATAAAATAACAAAGATATGATATTCTCGAATTTTTTCAAATAATCTCTTAGTGGTCCAAATATATGGAACCAATCTTCGATGAGAAAATTTCTCATCCATATATTTTTGCCAAATAGTGTAGGCGTATATTTACTCATATGTAATTTTTTAATTTTTTTTCCATGGCCAGTAGTCTAGTGGTGCACTAGAAGCCAATCTCAAAAAACTCCATGGTTATTTTTGCTTTTGCAAAAATATCAAAAAATATTTCAAGTACCTTCACATCAGGTCATACTTTTCAGTGAATGCTAGTCTGCATAACTCAAAATAAAGTTAGAATAGATTAAAAAAACAATAATTATGTCATACTCATAAATTGAGCAAATAGAATGGGCATATATTTGCTCACATCAAGCAAAGCCACATTAATTTCCATCATTTCTGTAATCTTCTCAATGGCTGGTAATCTAGTAACCCGCCATTCTCATAATCCTCAATAAATTTTCTTTTGCAAGAAAACTTCAAAAGTAATTCAACTCTATCCAAATCATGCCTCACTTTTTAATCTGCACAACTCAAATTAGAGATTAAGAAAATTCAAAAAATATAATAGTCAATGCACTATTATGCTTTAATCTCAAAATTCAACCTGCAACTAATGCAAGCCTTATAATGAAAAATTTCAAGGGTTTCAAAATTCATAGCTACTAGCTTAGTCAACATCCACTGTCCGCGTTTCCATCTAAGCATAGTCACACTATAGTCATGCTTGGTAAGGAAATTAAGTATTCCAGTTTGCATTAAATACAAAGACAACCACATAGCAAACAACATGAAATAATTTAATATAAATCCAAAAGTTGTTGGTTGCCTGCAAATTGATGGCCTTTGACTCGAATACATATTTTTTAATGTACAACATCACATTTTCAACTCAAAAGTTCATATTCACAATTTTAACACAATACAAGTCAAGAGAATAGAGTTGTTGAGAATTATATGGCTAATAACTTTATATTTCACAACTTCAAGCCACTAAAGCTATTATCCATGCATATAATTTTTCCTTGGTGACAATGTAACCTTTTTTTCATGTATTATCAATACCGTTTATTGCTTGTGAAAATGCAAACCTCAAGCTTGACTGAGATCATATGAATTCAAGACAAAACTAGAGAATTTTAAACCCCCACTATTTAAATATAACTTGAACCTCATAATTGCAGTTTTTTTTCATACATCTTGATACCACTATTCTTAAGACAATAACTGGCCACGTTATACATGCATTTCATGGAGTATATATCTTTATCACAAATTAATCATTTCTATGTCAATGCCGAAATTTTCAATCGGAATAAATCCATTAATAGAAGAGACATTGAAAGTTCACTATGTAACATGACAAGCTTATGCAAAAAAAGTTGCTTCATACAACATATATGAAAAACTCAAAAATGGCAAAAAATTATTGTATTTGGTCTACTAATTTACAAAGACATCATGCAAGTACCATGTTTCCCTTGAACAAACAAATACATGATATTCTGTTAATAATAGGCAACTTGTATTCAAAGGTATATATTGCGAATTATTTATAGGTGCTTACACAATATTGATACCAGACTCTAAAGTACATAAAACCAATGGATATTATCCTTTCTAGTCTCAGTCTATAATTATGACCATTCACATTAAATATCTTGTATATTAAAGTTTGTTCTGATTATGTTATACACCATGTAAGATTCTCATCGTTGGGATTATGTTAGTTTTATGATTAGATAATTTAGAAGCAAAACATGCAACGATAACCTTATCTTATGTGAAGAGGCTAATCGTCTTAAAAATTGTTGGTTCTAGACCAAAATAAATCATATAAGTCACAATAATTTCTCTAATAAAATTTAACAAATAAATTAACAAAAATTCATACCTTAATCTTGCATTAAAAATGCAAATAATTTGTACCATAAAATGTTGATTTGGTATGGGTTGAGGCGCGGACTAGGTCGCTCTCTTTAAGACGATTCGCGCCCCTACGGAGTATCCTCCGATGTAGTAGGTCTCAGTACGTCACCTTCAGGATACAACAGCCCAGCCTTTTGCACACTGTAATCTACTCCAATCTACACTATTGGAGTAAGACAGAAACCTCATACTAACACTGTTCTTTGCCCTATAAACTCTTATAGTAGTGGAGAAAAAATAGAAGGTAGTATAGAGATAGCAAAGTATATATTTGGTTTGGTTGATAAATGCCTTATATATAGGCTAAGAAATTAGGAATATTAAAATTCCAACATTAATAGGAATTAACATCTCATATTTCAGTTACAAATTGAAAAGTCTAGATTCATTGTATAACGGTAAAAAATTACTAAAAAAATTCATAAAACCTAATCATTACATAAGTTACAAATGCAAGACATAAATCCCATAAGTTACACATTTAAATGTTTTAATTTGTAACTGAAAATTTATTTAAAGAATTTGTAATTTATTTAATTTGAATTCAAAATAAATATGTGATATTTTTTATTAAAATATCCAACAGTAGTAAAGCTTGAAATGACGCTTTAAATCGCCTCCTCTGCAACGTTGTGAAGTAAAGCGGCTTAAAAAATGAAATGTTCCAATCAATTTCTATTTGCATATTTTTTTTCTTACGGACATTTTGGAACCAAATGATCGTTTCAATTAGCGGGAACAGCTTCAGAAGGATCTCAACTTGTATGAATACATACAGTGTCTGTCTTTTATCGCTTGAAAATGCAAACCAGAGTCATCACCATCAAGAGAAGGGAGGGTCAGCAATCAATGCAACATCTATCTAGACTTTCCTTGAGCAAAATTAAGATTTTCTCGTTATTGCCTAGCCTCTCTATTCACAATCCACATGAATTTATGTCTATTCTTTATTTTTTTCCCTTTTCTGGGCCTTTCCTCTTTCTGATGCAGGTTTAACTTGCACAAACATATCCAGTAACTGCTTTCTTGTGCAATCCAAATGCTCAATACTGCTCTGACATTGATATCAGTTCCATGTACTGAATTAGATTTGGCACATTCTTTCAGAATATACGTTAAGGTAACATTTTTTCCTTAGGGAGTGCTTGTACAACTCTATAAGACTTTCCAAAATTTCCTTATACCTTCACTTGCAACTTCTTCACAACGTTCTCAACCAACATTTAGCTGTATACTTATTTACTTAATTTACATGGCATGAATCTCCTCCCGCTAGCTAAATAGAACTTCACTAAACAGTTCAAATGAGTTTCTAGTAACAGATTAATATACTATGCCAACACACAATCTCTATTCTACCAAATTTGTTACTTCCAAATTGGGTAGGAGTTCCCGTCCTTCTCATCACATCACAAGAACAGGCACCAATTAACACCAGAAGACATCTCCCCTGAACATATTTAACATTCGTTGTCTTCTCGCAAACTTTAAGTCAACTTCATTGGACCTTCTGCCAAAATTTTTCATTCATTAGCTCTTCTATCAGTTTCACTATGCAAGGCTGATAGTCCTAAACCAAACATTAGCTCATTTAACAACATCTGTGATTCATATAATTTTTCTACTCTAATTATAGCCGGAACAGGATTCCTCTATAACTACCTTTACAAAAATGAAATAGCTGATGGCTGGATGAATGGGGATTTTAACTTAATACTTGAGGTAGCCTCAAATTGTTTCCACAAATCTCTACTCCTAGAAGAATTTAATTCATTTTGGCTGAAAAGTGACTTTAATTTTTTGGAAACAGATTCACAGATGGCATTATTTCTTTCTGCAAGGTAACAGTTTCAAAGCAAGAACTTACCATATTCTTGGCGTTTTGAGAGAGAGAGGGGAAAAAGAAAGGGTTGGATCATTCAGCTAATTCTTTAAGAAAGGGTTGGATCATTCAGCTAATTCTTTTGAGGAATGAAACATAGAAAAGGAAAAGCAGAGTGTACCTTGCATATATGCATGTGCTCTGGTTACAAGGATGATATCAAAATCTGTAGCAACATTAACGAAGATTTCAGAAACTGGGATGACAGATTTTAAACATTATTGAACATCAAAACGCATAGAGAACTTGGAGAATATTTTAGAAACAGATTATGATAGATAATGTTGAATTCATATATGTATGACTGTTTGTGCCACTGCAATCACAAAGTTATAGCTGCAAGGAATTGAGAATCTCCAAAAATTGGCTCAAGAAACATGAATAATTATATCATTGAACTAATTCAACTTAGTCACATGATACTGTAGTATTATCTCTGACCTAATGAGTGGTATTCAACTCTGCATTGACTCTGTCCCAGATCAAGAAGAGATATGAATAGCTCACCATAGTGAAATGTGATGAGAGGACTAAGAAAACGTACCTGGATCACCAATAACTTCGAATATCAATCTTTAGACCCTCGTTTCCATTTTCCATCTGTTCTTCTCCAATTTGCTTCACAGAACTTTCAGCAGACTGCACCCTTTCACCTCAATCATTACAAGAGGCGCAGATTCCCCTAAACAAGAAGGGAGCTCTTCCAGCTTCTTACAACCATGCAAAACCAATTTCTCAAGACAGGAAAAATGATCAGAAGATGTTGCAGTCCACCAACGGATGTCCAACTCTGACAGTTTCAAGATTCGGAGCTTAGAGAACTCCCCGTCTTTCATTTCCCATTTCCTTCCCACAAAGGATTCACTGTTTAACTTAAGCACTTCAAGCTTGGTCAGCTTACCAATTGTTGAAATTTCACTCCACGGCTTAGAATTAAATGAGAGAGTAAACATTCTCAAATTCGTTGAAATGAAAGTGATATCCATCAAATCCATGCACCTTAAGTGATTCTACTTGACTCAAATAGTCCAGCATGAGAATCCCATTGCCATAAGATCCGAGTCCTGCACATCTTAGCCTTCGGATGCTTGGAAACTTTTTCGGTATCTTTTGCAAGCTTTGATAAGAAGGATCAATCGCTAGGGTCAAAGTGACTAGATGTTCTAAATCCGGGGAGCCTTCCAGATTGTTGGGAAAAGTAAAACCATACCTGGAACCATAATCATTGGATCTTGTTATAAATAAATGCCTCAATGTCTTAATAGTCCAGATGGTGTTTGGCAACCTAACATCTATAGACCCTCTAATCAGAAATGTTTCTAACCTTGAGAGGTTGGCTATTGCATCTAGAATTGATAACAGTTCTGATCGAATGGCCAAGTATCTCACGTGAACAAGCAACACTACTTCCATCGGGAAACTTTTGCCAAGACTAAACTCCCCCAGGTCCAACTGTTAGGAAATTGGCTTAATTTTTTTAAGGCAGGTTTCTTATCTTGTGTGGAAGTAATTAGTTTTTTAATTGGTTTTAGTTATTTGAAATAGTAGTCAAGAAATTTTCTATTTTATTTAGAATTAGAAGTTATTTCTTATTCTGTATAAGTTTAGGAATTAGAATTGATTTGCTGTTGTTATTTGAATTTTTGTCCAAACAATGTTCTCTATAAATAGATGGGTTGACATAGTACAAAGAGACAAATAAGGAGTACAAAAGGGCAACATGTAGCCTTCTACATGAGGACTGAGATAGGGTTCTTGAGAGATGAGAGAGGATATATAAGGGTTGGGTTTGGATTCAAATTGTATTCCTGTATAGAATTTTCCTCTTATAATAAAGAACGGATTACTTTCTGTAGACGTAGACTCAATGGTGGAGTCGAACCACATTAAGTATTGTGTGTCATTTATCTTTCATACTTGTGACTTTTTTATCATTAAATTGTTGTGTACTTGATATCTCAATAGTTATGTGTTCTGCGCTTGGATTCTAACAAGTGATATCAGAGTTTGGTTACAAGATTGAACTGTTCACAAGCACTTGGATCCCAACAAACTGAATGGTTGGATTAAGAGTTTGGTTGTTCATTGTTGGATCTTGGTTAACTATTGAGATCAAGTGGATTGGTGGTTATTACCAATTGAACAATTTAATGGGTGATATTCTTGTTTCAATGGTTTGGCAAAAAACATTGATGGTAAAAGATGAAAAATCGAAAAACATGGAAATACTTGACGATGAATCTAGGCAGGTGATTCAAGGGTCAAGAAAAAAGTGGAGTCCAATATTGACTTTGGATGTGAATCGGTTGAGATTTTCTCACAACTTCATCGGTTGATACTTCATCTCGAATGGTTATTAGATTCGGATTTTATTTTTTGGGTGGTGTGACACGTGTTCCAAAAAAATAAAGGGATTTAATTTGCATGCGCTACAAGACTTTAACAGTTATGAGTTTTTCGTTTAGATGGAGTTTTGGAAACCATACGTGGCGAGATAGTCCTGAGGATGGTAGAAAGTATGGTGATTTTACCATTTGGTTGTATCAATAATTAGGGTTTGAACTCACAGAAGGGGATCTTAGATTGCAAGTGATCGTGAAAAGAAATTCTGTAAAGAAAGATGGTAAATGAGACATTTTCTCACGAGTCAACTGGAGGTTGGATTCGGGATAAATATACATGTTCATTTGTCGATTGAATCAATTTGGTGTCAGAATTGTATTAATTCATGTGTGTAATTTCGATACCATATTATTTGTTAGTTAAAGGCAAATGGTTGTTAAAAGAAATTTTCACCAAGGTGGAGATTTGTTAGAAAATTGACTTAATTTTTTTTAGACTAATTTTTTGTTTTGTGTGGAAATAACTAATTTTCTAATTGATTTTAGTTACTTGAAATAGTAGCCAAGGATTTTCCTATTTTGCTTAGAATTAGAAATTATTTTCAATTCTATACAAATTTAGGAATTAGAATTACTTTCTTGTTGTTATTTGAATTTTTGTCCAAATAATGTTCTCCATAAATAGGTGGGTTGACATACTACACAGAGAAACACAAGGAACACAAAAGGGCAACATGTAACCTTATACATGAGGAGTGAGAGATGGTATACAAGAGTTGGATTTGGATTCAAATTGTATTTTTATATAGGATTTTTCTTTCATAATAAAAAACGGATTTCTCTTCGTGGACGTAGGTTCAATGATGGAGTCGACCCATGTTAAATATTATGTATCGCTTATCTTTCATACTTGTGACTTGTTTATCATTAATTATTATGTACTTGATGTCTCAATAGTTGTGTGTTCCGCGCTTGGATCCTAACATCAACAATCTAAGAAACTTAAATTGGGATCAAACAGCACTGTAGATATCCTATTTCTAGCAATGAAGACATTAGCATGGAAAAGCAAACAACATAAATTGGGAAAAAATAGTTTTGACTCTTTAAGCTCTGTTGAGTGTTTTGCATCTTGATTCGTTGATGGCTTGTTATGGTTCGTTGAGACTTTTGTGATTCGTTGAGATCCGTTGGAACTTTTAGAGAGAACGCGAAATTTGTTTGATATTTGTCTACTATTGATTGATGTTGGATACACGTCAAAGTGAAGATTTGTTGAGTCTGTCTTTGTATCCCATATTGAGACTTTTATAAAGAAGTATCTCCTCTTAGTAGTTATAAATATAATAGGTTTAAATGAGTTTAAATGTGCTAAGAGCACCAATTCAAGTGCCATATGCACCAATTTAAAAGAGTTTTAAGCGGCCTCACGCCCTAGTTTAAGAGGAGTTTTGGTTAGGCATCAAACCAAAAGAGCAAGTTATGAGCCTTTAGACTATTAAATATTTGATGCTATTTAGCCTCTTTTGTGTTTTCAGTTTTAAGTGCCTTTTGGGTTTAGAAATTATTTTCTAGGGTTTTACACTCTTTCTTTTGTACTATCTTTCTGTTATAGTAAATTTACAATCCCTTCGCCCGTGGACGTAGGTCAATTGGACCAAACTACGTAAATTTCATATTTTTCTGTTTGATTTATTTATTTATTTTGGTATTGTCATTATTGAGTTGCGAAAAATCCTATTATTCTCGTTGGTCGATTTTTTGGGACCAAATCTAACAAATTAGTATCAGAGTTTCAGATTTTGGGTTCTTGATGACAATAATAGGTTTTAGCTGCTGCAGAGAGTGAAGAAAAAAAAATTTCATTGGAGTTCAGTTGGATTTTGGAGAAGAGTTATTTGGCCTGTTAGAACTCGTTGAGGGTTTTGAAAAGAAGATGAAACAAGATTACTGTGTTTGTAGTTTTTAACTCATTGGGATCTGTTGAACCTTTTGTGAGATTTGAGCTGTTGGGACCTATTGAGTCTTTTGCATCTTGATTCATTGGTGCCTCGTTGTAGTTCGTTGGGACTTTTATGATTCGTTGAGATTCGTTGGGACTTTTATAGAGAATGTGGTGTTTATTTGCTATTTGTCTACTATTTGGATAAACACCAAGGTAGAGATTTGTTGAGTGTGCCTTTGTATCTCAAATCAAAACTTTTATAAAGATGTATCTTCTCATCGTAGTTATAAATATAGTGGACTTAAATGAATTTAATTGTGCTAAGGGTACCATTCTAAATGCCATATGCATCAATCCAACAGAATTTTAGGAGGCTTAAGCTCCAGTCTAAAAGAGGTTTTGGTTTGGCATCAAATCAAAAGAGCAAGTCATGGACTTTTGGACCATTAAGAGTTTAGCGTTATTTAGACTTTTTTGTGTTTTAAGTTTTATGTGCCTTTTGAACCTGGGAATTATTTTCTAAGGTTTTGTACTTTCTCTTTTATACTTTCTTTCTATTATAGTAAATCTACTACCCATTCGCCCATGGACGTAGGTCAATTGGATTGAATCAGGTAAATTTCTGTGTTCCTATTTTATTTATTTTTGTTTTGTTATTTGTCTTTTTGGGGTTGTCAAAAATCTTTTCATCAATTTTCTGGGGCTAGACCTGACAAGCCCCTCTATCATGGAATCATAAATGAATACTCGATGGGGGTTGCAGGGTCTAGCAAAAGTACAAAGATCATTATACCTATGTAAAATATGAAGAAAACTTTCTTCCTTGGCTTTTGTGACACAAAACTCATGTACCAAATCATGAATTCGGCAAGCTATGGCACCATCTATAGTTCTCTGTTGGGTAACCATAACTAAACTTCTATTAACCAAATTCTTCAAGTAGTCATTAGCCATATCCTCTAAACTCTTTCCTTCAGTCTGTTGCATGAATCCTTCAGAGATCTAAAGCAAGAACAACACCTTTGGACAGGAATATTCTCATCTTCTGGAAATGCGCCAAAGTAAAAAAGGCATGGCTTCAAATAATCAGGTAAATGACTATAACCCAACTCCAACAGATTGGTCTCAATTACAATGCTGGAACTAAGACTGTTTGCAAAATTCTTCCAGCAATCTGGTTTAACACTTGAAAGAATTCCAGCAACAATGACTACTGTGAAAGGCAGCTCCTTTCATTTATTTGCTATTTGCATTAAAACTTTAATTAGTGCTGGAAGAAAACCTTTTCTGCCAAATATCTTCTTCTGAAGCAACACAAAACACTCTTCAACAGTAAGTTGTTGGAGATGGAAAGGCTCGCAATCACTAAATTGCGAAGTCAAATTCTGAAACCTGCTGGTGAAGAGAATCCTGCTTCTATTGGTATCATCTGGCAATGATCTTTCCAACATATTCCATGCCTCAATGTCCTACACATCGTCTAAAATGATAAGATACCTATTCCTAGTCAAACTCTGGTAGAGTATTACAGTCAAATCATCTTCATTCATCTCAAGATAATGGTCTGGCTCCTACAATGAATACTGCACAACATCTTAGCTAACAAATTGTGCTTGCTGTAAACTTGAGAAACAGTACACCAAGCACGAATATGAAAGTAGCTTGAAATTGAAGGATCATAGTAGACTTTGTTTGCAAATGTTGTCTTACTAAGACCAGCCGTACCAACAATTGGAACAATATTCAAATGCTTTGAACCCCTGGTAAGTCTATTGATGATCGACTTTACCTCTTCATCAAGGTCCACTAGAACTTCATTTGGTGCTGGGTAACTGAGTTGTGATTCCATATGAATACGGTTGTTGACAACACTTGGAGCTTCAGTGTCATACCTGATGCTGCCATATACTTCCAGGGCCTCAGCTCTCATAAGCTTGATATTCCTGACAATGTTATCCAGACATTCAAGTATATCCCCAATCGCGATAGAGTCTATGACTAACTCTGCATTATATGTCACCTCTATAACATGATCCCAAAGAGCCTGGAGTTTTTTATTTTGGTTGCGTTGCTCCATTATCTCTCCCAGGAAAGATCTTAAGAATTTGAGATTTTCTTGAACTCTTTGGATTTGATCCTTTGGGAAAGCAATTGAACTAGCCTCAGAAATAGCTAGTTCATTGACATTTTGTAAGAGGAAATCAATGGAGCCCAATTCATTGGTCCGAGGAAATCTAAATGATAGTGGTGGATAAATTTGTGCCACTTCCGTAAGAATAAAATTGAGCTCTTTCAGCAAACGAGAAAGCTCAAGATCTGTTTCCTCAGCAAAGCCTTCTTTCAGTTGATTCTTAGAAAGGGAGAAAATGACAATGCACGCATCACAGACTGCATCTCCAATAAGACCCTTTGTTTCATCGTGTAGCTCATTGATATTTTCCTGCTACTGCCTGAGAAGGAAATTCAAAAATCTTACTCCCTCTTGGAGTTTTAGCAATTGATTCCTCTCCAAAGCCAGAAAATTGGTATCAATTTGAAGTAGCTCCATAAGATTGTCTGGGAGACAATCAATAAAGCTGGTCACTATATGATTATTCTTCTCCAGAGCCAAAGTGTCCAATGATCTTGATAACTTTGAAGCGGTCAGGACATTAATGTATGTTGCCCAGTCTTAGGGAATAACAGGATTAATCTTGTATAGCAATTGAGAAACTTTAGATACCATTTCATCATACACTTGTTTATCTTCTCAGTTAAACCAACATACAGAAATCAAGCGTGCAGCATTGATACCCATGGCTTCCACGTGGTTCAATAAATGCCTCAACTCCTGACCCTCAACGCCTTGCAACGTGAAGGGGATGATGCTCTTCAAGAACATTAGCTTCTCTTCAAGAATTTCGATAAGAGAATTCAAAGTTTAACCAAAATCCTACTTTCTGCGAAGAAGACATCTCAGATTCTCTGAAAGGGAATCAATGAAATCCATAACCAATCGAGGCTGCCCCAGGGAGTAGCCATCCAAGAAGTTGCTGATAGACAATTCCTTGATGTCTGTCTCAACAGCAACTTGATATTTTGATGGAATTTGGTGAGCTCCCTTTTGATGTCACTTAGATTTGGTGTTACAATAGACTCAGAACACCTAACCAGATGCTTCATCTTCCTATTAACCAGTTCTTGAATTCTGCATGAAACATTACTAGGTCTCAAAGTTTCTGACTCGGTATTAGTCTTGTCCTTCTGATCATGTTCCAACAAAGTTTCATGGTCCCTTCGCATACAATTGCTAAAATACAGCTCAAAGGTTTTCAACAATCTTACCTCCATTATGAGGTTCAGGTTATCAGTCATTGATAGGTTGCATTTTTGTCATTAATTTTGTGGTTATTTTGCTCTTTTATTTTATCAAATATTGCGTTAATTGATGGATTCTACTTATATTTGGTTAATGGTGCTAATTGTAGGAAAAAGAACAAAACATGACAAAAAGGGGCAATTTTCCAATTAATTTAATGGTGGCATGTTCGGGACCTGTTTCTAAGTTCGATTCAAACTCTGGACAGCTTTAGAGGAAGATTTGGAAGACTTGAATTCTAATTATTAGTTTTATGACTGAATTAGGAAACTCGAAATACTTTCTTTTGTGGTTTATTTCTCTATTTAGGAGACTAGTTTTATTTGGTAGTAGACTTGAATTAAGAAACTAGGAGAGAAAAGGCCAAATTCCAGTTTGACTAGGACTTCAGCCAAAAATAAGATAAAAGCATCAGGACTCTTTGCTTTGCAAGGAGGGACGACGGCCGCTTGGCCTTTTGGCCAATCTTTTGTTTTCTCTAGTTTTTCTCTTATCAAAGACTAATGCGGTTGGCTTTGAAAATTGGTGTGAATTGCTTCAATTGGCTATGCGCAACTAAGTTTCTTTTCTAGTCGAATGTCAACTTGAAGATGTGGTGCCAAACATCTATGAAATCGAATTAATTTTATTTATTGGTATTTGTACATTTTCTAGTTTAATTTCTTATGATTGTTTTGTCATTTAAATGTCAAGGGTCCGATATTTGAATTAACCTAATAATCTACTGCTAAATTAATCGGTTAAATCTGTAATTGTTTGATTGGTTAATACCAGTGGTACTAGCGTGATTGGTCCCATGTTGGCGAAATGTATGATCTAATTTAAATAAACTCTCGTAGCATGTTTGTTAGTTAGGGTTAGGTTTTTCTAATTCTTAATGCAATTGAGGAATTGAATCCTACGGTCGTACCTAGAGTTATTTCTTAGTTAGGAAAATAGTCAACGGTCGTACATTGACTATCGAAAAAATAAGGAAATGTTGATTGTTTATCGTGTGTATGACAATTATAACCAATCTATTAATGAATAATTGAATTATCATTGCATCGATGATCAGTTGAATGAACCGTGTCTGAAAAGTTGCACCTTTGGCTAGAGTCGTACTCATTATTGATTATTTCCTATTAATTTCCGTTAGTTGTTTTATTAGTTGGTTAATTAGTTATTTTATGTTTTTCAAAAATCCCCCATGCTTTGAACTCTAAAAGAAACGAATTACTCCTAATCCTTGTGGATTCGACCCTGCTCACCGTTATATACAAATTTATATTTTTCTTGAGTAGATAATTATTATTGCACAGGCTCAACAACCTGTCAGTCATCAGGTTCATGCTATCAGAATCTGTCTCATCTCTGAAAGTCTCCAAACCCTTATCCAGAAAAAGTCAAAGCAGACTCAAAGCAGCTAGTACCACTACTACTGGAGGCCATCTCTATTATTGTGGTATCTTCTTTTCATTCTAATATCAGATTTCTGTCTGGTGTAGCAAAGGATGATGAATGAGCTTAGTTCAAGATCTACAGCTTTCTCATGATTTAACAATAGTCGAATACAGCCAGCAAGACTCATTTTCTCTCTTTGTTTTGAATATAATTTTTATGGGGCCAGGGTTGGTGGTGCTAAACATATCAAAGCCTCTTTCTTGTCCAATACTGCCAGATACACTCCATTATTTTTTATTCATTTGGTTACTTTTTTATTGGACTCTTAATTTAGTCGGAATCACTCTATTAATTTATCGGGAATTTCTCACTCTACATATAGAGTTCTGGCAATTTAGGCTCCTACTTGCTTTGCAACGTCCATTTTGTAGCAACTAACAAATTGATTAGGTATGTTCCATCAGATTGCAACTGTGGAACGGATAAGTTTAGGAATTTCTCCTCTTCCCACTTTGATCCACAACTTTATTTAGCTTTTTCTTCCAATGGCCAAATAAACCATCAATTTTCTTCTGAAACTGTGCTTGCAACCACAAGATTAGGCATCAAGCAGGATAGGCGGGTCTTCAAGAATGCTTAATATTATCATGTCATCACACCTAAGAAGCCAACAATTTTCTTAATATACCATTAGAGAGGTAATGAAATCTCCAAGCTCAGATAACTGAAGCATTTTCTTATTCATCTCCTTTATCAACCAACATCTAGATGTCACATTTTGTGAATAATAGCCCAGTCTAACAAACAACCTTATTTACACTCTCACTATCCCATTTTTATTTTGACAAGACCATATTACCCCTACTCTAATTTCTACTGCTACCCTATCTTGTGTTCACATTACCTGTATGCTATTCTATCACTTCTATAGACAACTTTGGAGCAGCAAACATCAACTCCACTTTTTTCTTTTTCATAAAAAATTTTAGACTCTACTTTTTTTCTCTTCCATAAAAAATTTTAGGGTTTCAAACTATGATAGACAATTATTTGGAAGAGATTGATGAAATATATTAGAAAACTTCACTCCCTTTATGGTGCCTATATGAGTTATTTTTAGTAAACTTTTTAAAGTATTAGTATCATATTTATGAAACATTGTTGTTGTACTCAATTTTTAGTCATCTTTGAAGTTTGGGATTTATTTATTTATTTATTTTGGTCTTGAAGTTTGAAATCTATTCATATTATATTGCTAGATTAATCTTTGGCATCATATAATTTCATTAAGTTTTGTAGAAAAATACATAATACATTTTAGTGATAATTTTAAATTAGCCATTTTAATGTGTAATAGAATAATTAATTGGTTTTAGAATGTAAGAGAAAATTTGGTAAAGTTAGCTCATGGGCAAGGAGAAGAAATTAGGGCAAGAATAATACGGTCTCATCAAAATGAAAATGGAGTAATAAGAGTGCAAATTATACAAGGGAGTGCAAATAACATTAATCCAAAAAAACTGATACACAAAATATTTATTTGAACAATCGACAAGGACAAAGCTTCATTGATTCACAAGGGAAAAGCTGAAAAGTTGAATTTATATAATCCAAGTGAACAATTAAAAGAAATCAAGATTTTCATGCCTCCCAAGCTATGAGAATGCAATATTGGCAAATTCTTATGCAATAGCATGACAAGCCTTCCTAGCTAAGTTCAGAAAGATTTATCTGCTGAACCATGAAACCACTTGTCATTATATCAATGCTGACGTGAATAAGAAAAGCAACCAAATTAGGCAATACCCAGAAGAGTTACAAACTTTCTTGCCATTTTTGGCAACTAATAGCAGTGCAGCTCTGCGTGATTCCAAGCAAAATTCAAGAAACATGAGCAGGATCTACTTTTTTTTTTTTATCGCAACGATAATATTTGTATAACCTACTTTAACCTATTTTAAAGGAAAGGGGACTCGTGGAATTTTCCTGTCGAAGGAAGTCACAATTAAGCGGCAACCCTTGCCTCCCAACCACCACCACATCCCTCCCCAAAAGACTTAAATGTCTTGGTGGGCTGTTGGCTATGAGCAGGACCTACTTGATATTCATGATTTTGATTTGCTAGCACAACAATAGTACTTTAATAGTCTTTGGACTTTGACAAACAGTAGGAAATCATGACAGGACTCTATCATGACTTCAGAATTGAAGTTGCAAAACTTGATTGTGTAACCCATTTTGAAGAATGATTATCCGACTCATAGTGCTATCTTCAACTAGCAGCCCCCTCAAGCCTCAACGTTCTTTGGATAGTTACAAACATGTCATAGATGTTGAATTTGTCTACCTGTTTCGACTGACAGTCCCCATTTTCTTCTGGAAGCTGCCAAACCAAAAGAGGTAGCTCAAATTGCACTGAGTATACAGAATATACTGGAATATCATGAAATGATGAAGGTACTCATCGTGAGGTTAAGAAAATAAGTTTAAAAAGTGAGAAAAAGTTAACACCAAACCCCCTTCTTACAAGTAGTAAGATGGTTACTCCAATTTGTAACACTTAATGCTACACGATCGAGTAGTCATAGATTTGTTTTTCACGTACTTGGGGAAAATTTGGGCTCGTATATGGGGAGTAGCAGCAGGTTTCTATCTTATCTCCATTGATCGTCAGAGTCCAAAGTGGTTGGAGATGTATTTTAAGGGATCTATTTTTTAAAAAAAAAATTTACAACTAAAGCTGTAGATTATCTTGCAATTGTGCTTCTCTGGAATAAATAATTGAAGCGTCATCATAAGTTGCATCCGGCTTGTTATTTCATCGTTGCACATGTAATTAAGTGAGTTAACTCCAAGCCAAGTACATAAATATAGGGAAACTGCCATTTGTGGTGTTTCATCCGGCTTGTTGTTTCATGTTAGGGAAACGTATGATCTAATTTAAACAAACCCTCGTAACGTGTTTGTTAGTTAGGTTGGGCTTTTCTAATTCTTAATACAATTGAGGAATTAAATCCTATGATCGTACCTAGGGTTATTTCTTGGTTAGGAAAATAGTTAATGGTCGTACATTGACTATCGAAAAAGTAAGGAAATGCTAGTTGTTTATCGTGTGTTTGACAACTATAACCAATCTATTAATGAGTAATTGAATTATCTTTGCATCGATGATCAGTTGAATGGACCGTATCTGAAAAGTTGCACCTTTGGCTAGAGTTGTATTGGTTATTGATTAATTCTTGTTTATTTCTATTAGTTGTTTCATTAGTTAGTTAATTAGTTATTTTATATTCTCCAAAAATTTTCCATACTTCGGACTCTAGAAGAAACGAATTATCCCCAGTCTCTGTGGATCCGATCCTACACCGCTATATATAAAATTTGTATTTTTATTGAGTAGATAATTATTATTGCATAGGCTCGACACTGTCAATTTTTGGCGCCGTTGCTGGGGACTGGCGTTCGTTAATTCGTTTTCTTTTTTAGTTCATTTTATTTTTAATTTTTTTTGTATTTTTTCTTTCGATTTTATGCCCCATTCCTCTTGAGCAAGTGAATTAATTTTTGACCATGAGATAAAGAAGACTGTGCATAGTGCCAGCTCGAGCGATTCTGATCAAGAAGGCGTCGTTATGGCTAATGCTCGAACTTTAAGGGAGTTGGCTGCTCCAAACTTTAATCAACAGTCATTATGCATTACCTTTCCAAATTTAGATGAAGAAACTCCTTTTGAATTAAAGTTTGGCCTAATTCAACTTTTACCTTTTTTTCATGATTTTTCAGGTGAGGAGCCTTACAGGGACTTGCATGAATTTGATGTAAGTATGAAACCCCCGGGGATTACTGAGGAGCAGATAAAAATGCGAGCATTTCCCTTTTCTCTCAAGGACGCGGCAAAAGATTGGTTCTACTATCTGCCACCAGGTAGTATAACAACTTGGGAACAGTTAAAGAAGAAGTTTTTGAAAAAATATTTTCCCACGTCAAGAGCCGCCAGTTTGAGAAAGGAAATATACGGCATTACACAGCATCTAGGGGAGTCTCTCTATGACTATTGGGAGAGATTCAAGAAACTGTGTACTAGATGCCACCAGCACCAGATTAGCGAGCAGTTTCTAATTCAATATTTCTATGAAGGTTTGTTATATACAGATAGAAGTCTTATAAACGCTGCTAGTGGAGGTGCTTTGATGAATAAGACCCCCCCAAAATACTTGGAAATTGATAGAAAGGATGGCAGAAAATTCTCAATAATTTGGCACAAGGGAGGATGTCCATACTCGTCGAGTAAATGAGGTAACTGTCTCATCAATTCAACAACAAATATCTGAATTAACTTCAGCTATTCGACAGTTGGCTGTAGGGAATTTGCAGCAGGCCAAAACATGTGGTATTTGTAAGGGCACGAGTCATCTCACAGATTGGTGTCCAGTGTTACAAGATGAAGGAGTTGAACAAGTGACCATGGCTAGCAACAAGCAGTATGACCTTTACTCCAACACATATACTCCGAATTAGAGAGACCATTCGAATTTCAGCTATGGAGGTAACAAGCAGTAAAATTCTTTTCCCAATAGGCAGCAAGATTTTCAACCGCAGTACCTCACGAAATCTCAATCTTATTCATCAAATGCTCACATGTCTTTGGAGGATACGGTCAAGACATTGGTTGCCAACACCATGCAACTCCAGCAAAATGCCATTCAATACCAACAAAGGACGGACACGAGCATAAGAAACGTAGAAAATCAGTTGAGTCAGATGGTCTCTACATTACATCGCTTGGAGTCTCAAGAGAAAGGAAGACTTCCATCTCAGCCTGAAATTAACCCAAAGAACGTGAGTGCCATTACCCTCAGAAGTGAAAAAGAAATTAAAGGGCCTACGATTCTGAAGGATAAGAGTCAGGATCAAATTTAAAAAGAGATAGAAGATGAAAGACATGAATGAGCATCTACAATAAACAAATTGATTTCTCCAATTTATGAAGAATTGCCCTCACAGACCATCAATGACCTTAAGGAAGATGAGAATGCAATTATTCTAACAAGCGACATGGTACTGTAAGAGTCTCAAGAAGAAGGATCTAAAGATGTAGTTAAAAAGAAAGTTGAAGTGCAAGAAATGAGACCCCAACATCAAATGGTTCAAGTGAATGATTTCAATGAACAATCTCTAAATGCGATAACATCTTCTCCATTTTTTAATCAATATTTTCCTAACTCTTATTCTTTAATTCCTATTAGTGAAATTGATTTTATTATACCAGAAAATTTTGAGTTTCATGACAGGAATAAGTTAAGAGTTGCGATGGCAAAATATCTCGAACTAGTAAGTGTTCGTGATGGAGGAGTGAGTGAAGAATTAAGATTCTTGTTGACTTGTTTGGCGCCATCTGCTAATCCATGAAAGACTATATCTAATGTGCTCAAGAATTACTCTATTTATGAGAGTTATCAGGGATACATAGAAGATGAAACGCTGAAACGAGTTACATGATTTTATTCTCCGTGAATAAACATGGCAAATGTCTAGCCAAAAACATTAAAGAAAGGCGCTGCTTGAGAGGCAACCCAATACTCTTTATTTTAGTTTTCTTATGTTTCTGGAGTTTTTGTTAAGCGTTAGTTGAGTTTAGTGATTTGTTATTTTTGTAGCAGGAAGCTGGTAGTTGGGCGTGCCCGCGTCTAGTGGTCGGGCCCAAAGAAGGAATTTTTGATTTGACGGATAGAAAACTACCCACTAGTTAGGCGTGTCCACGCCAGATGGTCACGTCTAAGGAATACAATTATTTTTCTGCGGTCAGAAAATCTCTAATAGTTAGTCGTGCCCACGCCAGGTGGTCACGTCTAAGAAAGGCAATTTTCTTATGCAGGCAGAAGACTCTCCAATAGTTAGGCGTGCCCACGTCATGTGGTCACGCTTAAGGAACTTAATTTCTGAGGGTTGGTCAGAAGACTCGAGGGTAGTTAGGCGTGCCTACGCCTAATGCAGTGGTTCTAAAAAAAAAAAATCTTTTCTTTTCTCTTCATTTTCCTTTCCTTTTTCCATTTTCTTTCTCTCTTCTTTCTCTCTTCTTTCTTTCTTCCATCCTTCTCCATCCAAACTCCACCTCTGCCAACCATAAACTTACATCGAGCTCCACAATCATTTGCCCCTCACTCGTAGCTGTCCACGGCCCCTACAGTTATCAGGGAAGTTCGTTATTCCCATTACTTTTCTTTTATTCTTTATTTTACATTGGGGACAATGTAAGATTTAGGTGTGGGGGGAGTAGTATATTCATAATATATTGAAAAAGTGTAAGTGTAGGCATTTTTGTTGAAATTTTTTATTTGACTTTGTCAAATTTTATCCAATTTTTGCCTATCTTTATGCATACTTGTAGTTGTTCTTGATAAACGATGGTTAGATGTTTCAAAATTTTCTATTGCTAAGATTTTACACTCTAAAGTGTTAAGTATGACATGGTTAAATTTAAGAGTATCTCTTTGGTGAATATTTGAGATTTTGTGACTTTTATACTTTTTGGTTAACTTTTCTAAGTATTGTAAATATTTGTCTAATATTATTTTTATACAAATTGGTTCAACTATTAATCTTAGTTCTCCATATTTAAGAAATGAAGCGGGTTTATGTGATTTTTAATTTTAATTTGGTGCTTATTTATGAATAGTATTCGACTATACTCCGCTAGTATCGTTGCCTAGTAACCGGAGGTTTTCACCACAAGTGTCGATTTTCGCATCAAAAAGTGACGATAACTATGAGTATGTGGTCCTTTAACGATAAAAGTTGAGTAACTGGGCTCCTTCATTTGATAGATGTCGGAATTCGCATCAAAACGCTTAAATGGCTAAAGGCTAAGCATTCTCCTTAAAAAAAAAAAAAATCAATCAAGTATGGGGATATTTTAGAAAAAAAAATGTGCTAATGGTGAAAATGTGGAAGTGTTTGAATGAATTGTTAACCCTCTAATCTATGAATTTTAATGTTGAGATTCTACTTAATAGTCGAACCATTTGATTATGGATGCTGGTTGAATATTTTATATTCTTAGATTAGTTAGTTATAAATTGAAAAAGTCCTTGATCTTTAAAGCTAACTGGAGAGATATTTCTTGCAAATTACCACTAATATTTGACATGTGTTTTAATTGTAAGTTGGCAATATAAGATTTGAGCAATAGCCATTGTTTGAATTTGATTGTTTGATTTATTGTTCTCATACTTGAGGACAAACATGGTTTAGGTATGGGAAAAATTAATAAATTACAATTCTGTCATTAATTTTATAATTATTTTCCTTTTTTATCTTACCAAATATTGTATTAGTTAGTGTATTCTATTTACTTTTGGTAATTTGTGTTGATTGTAGGGATTTGGAGCGAAATGGGATTAAAGACGTGATTTTCATTGAATTTTTGTACTAATCAACATCGTCGCATCAAAATTTAATTCTGCAAGTTCGGAAACTCGGAAGTTGACGCGTGACTTCTAGTCTTGGATTGGAGCCGTGGAAGAGACTCTTTATCAACTGACTAGTTTTCTATTCTTATTAGGAGATTAGTCTATCTGACTAGGAGGAGTTTTCTTTGGTTTAGGAAAGTAGTTTTTTGATAGGAATAAAGAAACGGGAAGTCTGAAACAATAGGGGGAGGACTTCTTTTTCTTCTTGGTTGCAAGGAACAAACAGACGTTTTTTTTTTCTTTTCTTCTTAATTCCGATACTTCATGACACTCTTGGGGAGAATGGCCGCGGCAATAAACTCCAATATTTCGCCCATGGCGTTTTCCATGGAGATGAACTAAGATTTTCTAGTCGAAGGTCAATTTGAGGATTCGGTTCTAAACATCTGTGAGATCGAATTATTTTACTTATTTCTTTTATTCATTGGTATTTGTACGTTTTCTGATATAACTTCTTATGATTGTTATATTATTTGAATGTCAAGGGCCCGATATTCGAATTAAACTAATAATCTACTGCCAGATTAAGTGATTGAATCCGTAATTGTTCAATTGATTAATACCAGTGGCGACTAGTGTGATTGGTTTCATGTTAGGGAAACGTATGATCTAATTTAAACAAACCCTCGTAGCGTGTTTGTTAGTTAGGGTGGGTTTTTCTAATTCTTAATGCAAGCGAAGAATTAAATTCTATGGCCGTACCTAGGGTTATTTCTTGGTTAGGAAAATAGTTAATGGTCGTATCTTGACTATCGAAAAAGTGAGGAAAGGCTGGTTGTTTATCGCGTGTTTGGCAACTATAACCAATCTCTTAATGAGTAATTGAATTATTTTTGCATCGATGATCAGTTGAATGGACCATGTCTGAAAAGTTGCACCTTTGGCTAGTTGTTATTGATTAATTCTTGTTTATTGATTAATTCTTGTTATTATTTATTGATTAACTAATGAAAAGTTAATTCTTGTGTATGGACCGAGTCGTATTGGTTATTGATTAATTCTTGTTTATTTCTATTAGTTGTTTCATTAGTTGGTTAATTAGTTATTTTATATTCTCCAAAAATTCCCCATATTTCGGATTCTGGAAGAAATGAATTATCCCCAATCCCTGTGGATCCGACCCTACTCATCGCTATATACAAAATTTGTATTTTTATTGAGTAGGTAATTATTATTGCACAGGCTCGACACTGTCATGTATAAAAAAGAATTAATTGTTACACCAATAGATTTACCAATATTGTTGGAAACTGAATATTTATGGATGAAGAAAAATGGATTGCTAGATCTTTTCTACTTAATTAAATATGAATATATAGTTCTAGATTTGTGGTCATTATAAAAATTTAAATTATCTAAAATAATGTTTATAAAAAAAGAATATCTACTAAGCTTTTAACATGGGGTATATTATTTGATCGATACTATCATATTATAGTGTGATAGGGTGCATTTTAGTGGGGTATTTTGGACATTAATGCACTTTTATTCGACTAAATATTTCCAGTAATTGAGTGGATTCTACTGATATTGATAGGCTGTAATTTTCTCATTTATTTTATAATTAATTTTCCCTATTACCTGACTTGATGTGGATTAATTGCTGGATTCTACTCATTTTCCGTAATTTACATTTATTTCAGGGAGTAGATAAAAAATACCACAATTAATGCCATTTTGGCAGTCATCGGAAAGGAAATTGAATTGAAGGCTTGAAAGGGTATTCTTGGGAAAGAGAGACACAAGCCCTTTCCGGTCATTTTGGGGCCAGAGTGCATTTTCCCTGGAGCTGCCGCACATCCAAGGGAGACGGAGAGGATAAAAACCAAAAAAGAAGAATAGCAAAAGGGGGCGCGGCTCACTGGAGAGCTTTCGTTTTTAGTTCAGCCGCACTTTTTGACTTATCCTCTGAGCCTTTTGTAGGCATTCTCCACGGTTGGGAGAAAGACAATGAGTACTAGCTTAGCATTTCATTAGCTTTTTTCTTTAGAATTCCTTTTGCTAATCTCACGCATGTCAGGAGAATTGGAGGCTATCTACTTTGACTTTTCCTTCTTGTACTTTTCGAGTGGTTTTGCTCTACGGATGCTAGGAACGATAAAGAGACCCAATTGTTACCTGTGACTTTCAATTGCTTTCTAATTGTTCGACGAATTGCGGCTCCCTGAAACGCAGATAATGGCCGTGACTTTTGCTGAAATTTCCCGTGGACTTAGTTCATCAAATATGAACTAATTTCCTCATTCTAGTCAAGAAACGACGGATGCTTTGAATTGCCTAAAAATTATGAGATCGATTTAATTTAATCTTTTCCTTTTATTTATTGGTATTCGCATATTCCTTGATTGCTATGTTTATGGTTATTCAATTAATTGGTTATCTTGGATCCGGATAATTAATTGATTCGGTAACCTATTGTCAATTAGGGCGTTAAATCCGTAATTGTTTATC